AGTTTATTTGTTTATGATCACACAGCAGATACATTCTTGTGTCTTCATTTTACCATGTTGTTATAAACTCTTCATAAGTAGCATTTTCAATGGCTTCATACTATTCTATTCTTTTTTCTGTAATTCACTTAACTCTAGCCCTATGCTGGACATTGGGGTTGGTTCCATTTTAGTTATTAGAAGTAATTAGAATAACTAATTAGTTATTAGTTATTAGATGGTCATTTGATCTGATAAATAACCAGATGTTGGAGGAGGTAGCTATGAAATGGATGAACTTTCCAAAACTCCTCTGTGTTGTGGGCAGAAAGGTCAGATCCCTTGAAGAAATGGAAGATGATGAAGGTGGTTGAATAGGTGGTAACAGTAGGATGTATTAAGAAGACAGGCTTTTAATCCTAGCTTGATTGCTTCTATGTAACCTTAGGCAACTTACTTGAGTGATTTGTAAAAATGGGATAACAATATCTAACACATGGCCTTGTTTATTCAGATTAAATGAAAGATGCTCTGAGGATAAAGTTCACAAACCTCTGAGGATGCATCTGGCACATAAGAAGTACTCAGTGACTATAAGATAAAAGTGACCATGATCCACACCACCTTTGTCATGCCCATAGCTCTTTCTGAAAGCAGAAAAACTCATTCAAGCATGCACACATCAAACATTTACTGAGTCCTTACTGCTCCCTGTTCTCTAGAAACTCTTGGTTAACAGGGGAGAAAGAGTTAAGCAGCTGCTACATCATCATGAAATGTGCCTGGATGGAGGGACTGGTTGCAAAAATTTCTCAGAAGAGGCACTGCTCAGCAATGTGAGTTAACCTCAACAAGGGGTTAATATCCAAAATACACAAGTAGCCCATACAACTCAAAATAAAATAAACAACCCAATGAAAAAATGGGCAGAAGACAACAATAGACATTTGTCCAAAGAATACATACAGATGGCCAACGGGCACATGAAAAGATGTTTGATGCTGCTAATTATTAGCAATTAATTAATAATTTTGGTGCTTCCCTGGTTGGCTCAATGGTAAAGAATATGTCTGCCAATGCAGGAGACAGAGGAGATGTGGTTTCAATCCCTGGGTTGGGAAGATGCCTTGGAGAAGGAAATGGCAACTCACTTTAGTATTCTTGCCTGGGAAATCCCATGGACAGAGGAGCCTGGCGGGCTACAGTCCATGGGGTCACAAAAGAGTCAGACACAACTTAGCTACTAAACAACAACTAATAATAACTAATTATTATTAGAGAAATGCAAATTAAAACCATAATGAGGCATCGCCTCATACTGACCATACTGCCCATCATTAAAATGTCTACAACTAATAAATGCAGGAGTGGGTGTGGAAAAAAAAAACCTTCTGACACTGTTGGTAAGAATATAAATTGATGGTGTGTGTGTGTGTGTGTGTGTATGTGTAAAATTCAGCCATAAAAAAGAATGAAATACTTCCATTTGCAGCAACATGGATGGACCTAGAGAATATCATATTAAGTTGGAGAAAGACAAATATTATACCACTTATATATATAATAAAAAAATAGTACAAATGGATCTATATACAAAACAGACTCACATGGGGAACAAACTTATGGTTACCAATGGGAGAAAGGAGTGGAGGAGAGAGAGATAAACTAGGAGTATGGGATTAACAGATCCAAACTACTATACATAAGATAGATAAGCAAAAAGGGTTTACTGTGTAACACAGGGAGCAATATTCAATATCTTGCACTAGTCTATCAAGGAAAATAATCTGAAAAAAGATATATAACTGAGTAACTTCACTATACACCTGAAACGAATACAATATTGTAAATCAACTGTACTTCGATTAAAAAGAGAGAGAGTGAAGACGCACTGCTCAAATTGAATTTGTAAAGGTAAGGCTCTGGTGAGCAGCACAGACAGATACTGTACCAGGGCACAGAGTGGCGAAGCTGCAGGAATGCACTTCTGGGCAGCAGGAAGTCTGGCAAAGCATGAGCCGAGGTAGGAGCTGGCAGGTGGCTCCTGACGATGCGGGGGGGTGTGGGAGAGCTTGTGGCTGGTTGGTGAGTCTGAAAGTGACAAGGGCCCCAGAGCAGCTCAAGTAGAAGATGGCCAGACCGGTTTTTCTCAGAGAGATTTCAAATAGTGGAGCTGCTGAAGAGCAAACACTGAACATTTCTAAGGCATATTGCCAAACAGAATTTGAAAAGGGCTGGGTCATTTTACACTCCAACTGGCAGCAACTACTCTCAGCACACTGCCTCGCAGGAGTCTCCCTTCTCAGAACCTCTTCCTGTGGTTCCCACGCCAGGTCTCCCGTGTCCTCCTCCCTGCGGTGGCTCCATCTGCCTCCCCTCAGCCTCCTCTCCCTTCCTGAGGGGATGCAGCCCCGGCGTCCTGTCCCGGCTCTCTCTCACCTTTGCTGAGGCCCTCACTGCCTGGGCTTCAGCGGCTACCTCTGGGCAGAGACTTCTGGCCCATCCTCTACACCATCCTCCAATCAGCCAGGGCAATGCCCCCAGGAAGCGCCCTCAAACACCTCAGCCTCTGCAGGTCCAAACCTTGCCTCGTAACTTTCCTAACGTCTCCTCCTCCTGAAGTCCCTGCGTCAACAGCACCATCCTGCTTCCATCATCCAGACTCTAATCTCATGTCGTTCTCGGCTCATCCCTCCCCCTCAGAGGCCCCAGCTCAGTCTCTCTTCTTTATCTACCTTTACATGCTCTCTGGACTCAGCTTGCATCCTCCACTTCTAATACTGCAGCACTGATTCTTTCCTGGACATTTAGGATGACCTGAGAACTCAGCTACCTGAATCCAGCCTCTCTCCCACAGGCACAGAGTCCCATGGTCACTGCTGGGATATCTGACTGCCTAAAACACCCCCATTCAAAATCTTCATTGGAGTTTGAAGCCCTGACCTAACTCTTTGGCACTCAAGATTCTCAGCCCCACCCCTGAGCAGGCACCTCCGTGATTTCTAGACCTCAGCAGACTGAATTCCTTGACAGTACTCACTTCTCATTAACCAGAAAATTTCTGGGATTTCCTGGTGATGCAGTGGATAAGAATATGTCTAAAGATGCAGGGGACATGGGTTTGATCCCCGATCTGGGAAGATTCTACATGCCAAGGAGCAACTAAACCTGTGCGCCACAACTACTGAGCCTGCGCTCTAGAGCCTGGGAGCTGCAACTACTGAGCCCGCATGCTGCAACTACTGAAGCCTGAGTGCCTAGAACCGCTTCTCTGCAATAAGAAAAGCCACCTCAATGAGAAGTCTGAGCAGGACAATGGAGAGTAGCCCCTGCTCGCCGCATCGAGAGAAAGCCCACACACAGCAACGAAGACCCCGTGCAGCCAAAAATAAATAAATTAAAAAAGAAAACTCCTCAAGGCAAGACTATCACTTAAAATTTTTTTTCTACCCACCCTCCCCTCCATAAGCAGGAAGGTGGGAGGGAGGGAGTGATAAGGAAGCAAGGGAGAGAGTAAGATTTTGTCTCAGTTTAAAGAAGAATTCTAACAAAAGCAAGTTCACTGAAACCTAAACAGGGAGCCTCACAGATGGGTAGCTCTGAAACTGACAAAGTGGAGGCTGACCGGCTACCGGGAAGAAAGGTAGCAGCTTACGGACACAGGACTTACAGGACTTACTTGGACACAAAATTAGGTAGAGATGGCCATCAAGGCGCCTTTTGGCTCTGGGATTCTCAGTCTTTGTCCATCCAAGCTCACCTCTAGAAAACTCATCCATGGTAGTTTTTCTACATTGTGCCTGGTACCAAGTTGGCATTTAATGAAGATTTCTGGTGTGAGGCACTTGATGGCAGGTGTCCTCACATCCTTGTATTTTTGCCTCAAGAAAAACTTACTTAAAATGGATTAATCAAAATTTTTTCTCTGTCCCCCAAAGTAGCTTCCAAGAATAGTTTTGTTCAAGAATTTTCTTTTACCTTCAATAAGTTGAAGCCCTAAGTAGCATGGTTGAATATCTGATGACTCACAATTCTCCCAGGTAAAACTATCCCAACACTGCCATTTAGAATTCTGGTTACTAGAAATGCATTAGAGGGGGAAATAGTTTGGTTAATTTGTATTTTTTACTATTAACTAAACAAAGGAGAAGGAAAAAAAAGTTGCTTAAACAACTAAAACAAATTTACACCTATTGTTTATTTCTACAGCAAAAGTGTCTTTTTAAACATAAATCTAGGGCACATGTCAGGGGAAATCGCGGAATTCTAGTCTTTTCCATTTGAATACTGAGGACCAGGGACCACAGATTTCCTCCACTGGGGTAGGGGATGACTTTATAGCGATTAGAATGGATTTTTTTTTTTCCAGAAGGGCCAACACTTTCACAATTTTTATCCTAGTATTTAACCAAGCTCATCTCAGAAGATTCTGGGCACCGTGTGGGAATGTTGGCCTTCCTAGACTGGGGTGGGGGGAGCCCTCCGGGGGCGAAGAGGAATGCTCTAGAGTGGTTCCCAGAGTCAGAATGTAGGAATTCTAGAAAACATCCTGAATGTTGCAGTTCGAGCTTCTGTGCTGAGGTGCTCAAAGGGGCTCCCAAGAAGAAAGATTACGGATGTTATTATTCGCCCATGTCTGAGCTTTCTGTTTCCATGGGCAACTCTGATTCCACCTGTGGCTCAGGAGGAGGGGCCGAGAGGCGCAGGAACAGGACCGACACGCGACCCCCCTGGAAACCGAGAAGCTCGGGTCCGGAGCAGCAGCCTCTCGCACTGGTCTTCCCAGCCCGAGGGGACTCTGGCTGCCGGGGGAGGGGTGGGGAAGAGGGGGCCTTCCCCACGGTCAGGGGCTGGAGCTCTCGAGGGGGCGACGCTCCCCGACCCGCAGTTCCTCTGCAGCCCCTCCCCGAGGCGAGAACGCCAGGTGCGCAGGTGTGGCCCGGCCGCCAGGTACAGTCAGCGCTAGCGCCTGGCCGCTGCCCTCCCACACTCCCTCCTTTGGGTCTGGTCCTCCCGCCTACCTTTGTGTATAGCTCGGCCACCGCCATGGGCAGACAGGGCAGCTCGAGGGCTGCGGAGATGAGAGGCTCGGGGGCTGGGCGGGCGGCTCAGCGGAAGGTAACCGTCCTGCAGGCCCAACAAATTAAAGCCGGGCCATGCCGTGGGAGAAGTTTTCCAGCAGCCGAGGAACTTTCCCGAGTGCTGGAGGAAAGGAGTCCCAGATTGGCCCTTCCCGGCCCACCCGGCGAGGCCTCGCTCTGATTGGCGGGACGGGGGCTGTGGGCGGAGCGCCCCGCCGCCCCGCTGGTTCCCGCGGTTAAGTGGGTCCACCTGGCCGGGGTCAGCGAGCGCCACCAAGAACTAGTCTGCTAGGGATTCCCTGGCTCTCAAAGCAGGAAAAAGGTGTGTCCCGAAGCGTTCCCGACTCAAGTTTTAGCTTCTTTAGGTCTCAGCGTGCTTACTGGAAGGAGCATAGGATATAACCATTTGCATAGAAAATCCAGGAGAACCATTAGAACTTGTTAAAGAGTTCAGTCAGGTAACCATATTCAAAATCAGATGTTAAAATGAATAATTTTCCTGTGTATGATAAACAGCCAGTTAGAAAATACGATAGATAGAAATGAGGTATTTGTAATATCAACGAAAATGAAGTATCCACTGACAAAAAGGCACTTTAACTTTGTGGAGAAAATGTTTGAATTTCTTTTCGAGGGTCAAAAAGAAGGTCGGAATGGGGAGTCATGCTGTTTGCATGGATAGGAATATTTAATATTGTACAGGTGTCAACTGTACCCAAATGAATATATGAGCCTAATATAACTGGAATAAAAATCCCAGCAGGACTTTTGCAGAATTGCAAAGTGGTTTTATATTTTGGGGGGCTTTCTTGGTGGCTCAGATGGTAAAGCGTCTACCTGCAATGAGGGAGACATGGGCTCGATCTCTGGGTTGGGAAGATCCCCTAGAGATGGAAATGGAAATGCACTTCAGTACTCTTACCTGGAAAATTCCATGGATGAAGGAGCCTGGTTGACTACAGTCCATGGGATCACTGAGTTGGACATGACTGAGCAACTTCGCTTTATATTTTTTATGGAATAAAAGTCTGTGTATAACTGAGACAATTCTCAAAACAAAGAACAAAGAGGAGAGATTAGACCTACCTTGTATTAAGGGATATCACAAAGCCATTAAAACTGTGTGATACTGTCATGGGAATGAATACATGAATAATGGAACAGAACGTAGTCCTCCAACAGGACCTTGCATTATATAGTGGCCTAGAGAACCTGATGAGGAAGGAAGATATTATTTAATGGAAGGGTCATTCAGTTCAGTTCAGTTCAGTTGCTCAGTCGTGTCCAACTCTTTGCGACCCCATGAGCCTCAGCATGCCAGGCCTCCCTGTCCATTACCAACTCCCGGAGTCCACCCAAACCCATGTCCTTTGAGTCGGTGATGCCATCCAACCATCTCAGCCTCTGTCGTCCCCTTCTCCTCCTGCTCTCAATCTTTCCCAGCATCAGGGTCTTTTCAAATGAGTCAGCTCTTCACATCAGGTGGCCAAAGTATTGGAGTTTCAGCTTCAGCATTAGTCCTTCCAATGAACACCCAGGACTGATCTCCTTTAGGATGATCTGGAAGGGTCATTATATAGGGGGAAAAAAGCAAGTGCATGGCAAACAGTAGATCCAAAAATAAACTCCAGATGGATTCATGATCAAAACTTAAAAGCAAAGCCAGAAAAAAAAATAGGGGTAATATCTTTACAGTGCTTGGCATGTGGAATCTTAGTTTCCTGATCAGGGTGGAATCTGTGCCCCTTGCAGTGGAATGGCAGAGTCTTAACGACTGTCTTAAGCCAGGGAAGTCAGGGGGTAATATCTTAACTGTTGGGTTAAGAAAGAATGAGTTAAGAAGATACAAAGTAGCAGAGCTATGGAAGAGAAAAATTACAGGTTTGAGGTCATCGAAATGAAACATTTCTGTTCAGTAAAGAACACCATTCACACACAAAAGGCAACAGATTAGGAAATATATTTGCAATTAAAAAATAATTAATATCTAGAATATTAATCTGGAATATATAAGAAACTATTGTAAACTGGTTAAAGAAAAGATGGGAACTCCAGTTTTAAAAATTGGACAATTGGTAGTGGAAATGAATAGGCAACTTGTGTATGGGGATACTGAAATGGCTGGTTAGCATATAAAGACATATCAACTTTATTAGTAGAGAAATGCAAATGAAGATAGCACTTTGCTCCCATATGATTAGGAACAATATTTAGGTTGGACAACATCATATGCTGCCTAGGATGTGAGGAAATAAGAACTGTTTTGCTCACATCGCTGTGGGAACTATACAATCATCACTTGGTATCCAAGGGAGGACTGGTCCCAGGACTCCCAAAGATACCAAACTCTTCCATTGCTCAAGTCCCTTGTATAATGGCATAGTATTTGCATATAACCTATACATATTCTTATATATTTTAAACCATCTCTAGATTATTTATACTACTTAATACAATGAAAATGCTATGTAAACAGCTGCTGGAAATTCAAGTTTTGCTTTTTTTGGAAATTTCTGGAATTAAAAAAAAAATGTATATTTTGGATCTGAGGGCAGTCGAATCTGTGGAGGCAAAACCTGTGGATATTTAGAACTGACTGTACTGATACTCCCATTTGAGAGAACAATCTGAGAATATTTAGTGAAAATAGATTCAGGCAGAAAAATTTCTCACATAGTCTCACATTGTCACCCAGAGAGACAGTTAAGTAGATGTTCGTCACAACACAGTTATATATCAAAGAACTGGAAACACTTAAGTATCCATCAAAAGGGGGGATGAATAAGCAAAATCATGTGTGCTTACAATATAAAACTGTACAGCTTCTGGTAGGAGTGGACATGAGCTACCTATACCACTTAGAGAGATATGAAAAACAATGCTGAATAGATGGCTAGCACAAGTCATATATATTTTAAACTCTCAAAAATTGCAGTACTATATGTTGTCCATGGATATAAGCATGTGGGTGATAAATTATAAAGTCATCCATTAAATAAACAAAAGTGGATATTTATGAGGTTGAGGGAAGTGGGACTGGGGATAAAGCAAAAAGTGATGCCAAAAATATTAAAAAGGGCTTGACATGGACCAACCACAATAGGAGCCAAAATAAGAAAACTATGGTAAATTCAATTCTGTGCACTATGTTATTGTCCAAAAAAAAAGAAAAATAAAGAAAAAGAAAAGGCATAATTTGGGTAGGGACAGCTGTGTGGTTCCTCAGAGTTAAGAAAGGAATCTAAAGGTTTAATTACTTTTTTCTTGATTTTTAAATTTAGTATTATTATTAGCCACACCACACAACTTGTAGAACTTTAGTTCCCTGACCGAGGATTAAAACCAGACCATTGTAGTGAAAGTGCTGAGTCCTAACCACTGGACCAGCAGAAAATTCTTAGTTTTTTCTGTAAGTAAAAAAATTTTACTGAAGAATAAAATTATGTACAGAAAAGTGCACAAATAATAAGTGTATATCTCAATATATTCTTATACATGGAATACAGCAACACACTTAAGTAACTACCACTCAACTCAGGCATAGAACATTTCTCACCCTAAACCTTACATGTGACTTCAAGCCATTACCCCTTACAGATAACCACTTTTATGACCTTTATCAGTATGGATTAATTTAACCTATTTTAGATGTTTTTATAGGTGGAATCATGTTTGTAACTTTTTGCATTTGGCTTTTTACATGACATTTATCTATGCTGCTGCATGTGGCTGCAGTTTACTATTTTTTTGCTGTATAATATTCCATTGTATAAATATTCTACAGTTTATTGATTCATTCTCTTGAAAGTGAGAGTGAAAGTCGCTCAGTCCAACTCTTTGCAACTCCATGGACTGTACAGTCCATTGGAATTCTCCAGGCCAGAATACTGGAGTGGGTATCCTTTCCCGTCTCCAGGGGATCTTCCTAACCCGGGAATCAAACCCAGGTCTCCTGCACTGCAGGCAGATTCTTTACCAGCTGAGCCACAGGGGAAGCCTGAAAGGAAGGCAGAGGCCAGGTGCGACTCTCATGCTGTGACTGGGATTCGTTCTCTTACTATTTAGTTGTCTCATTTTGTGATGATGAGGCTCAGGGCACACACCACTCCAAGATGTGCTACTCTGGCGTGTGGATTATTTTCACTTGAAAACAAGCAGGCTCAGAGTCCTCTCTGTGTCCCATTGCCAGCAAATATTTGTTTACCCAACATTATCTTCCTGAAATTACCTTACTTCTCTTTGAAGTCTCAAAGGGGCTTTGAGACTTAGTCCAGAATATATGATACCTCTTTGTCATTATTCCAGAATATATGTATACTTCATCTTGCCTTACTGTCTTTGGAATTCTTCATATTTATGTGCTTTATCTATTAATCCCATACTCCCAATTTATCCCTACTTCCCTTTCCCCTTTGGTAAATAGAAATTTCGAAATGCAGTACTTGGATGCAATCTCAAAAACAACAGAATGATCTCTGTTCATTTCCAAGGCAAACCATTCAATATCATGTTAATCTAAGTCTATGCCCTGACAGTAACACTGAAGAAGCTGAATGGTTCTATGAAGACTTACAAGAACTTTTAGAACGAATGCAAAAGTAGGAAGTCAAGAAACACCTGGAGTAACAGGGAAATTTGGCCTTGGAGTACAGAATGAAGCAGGGCAAAGGCTAATAGAGTTTTGCCAAGAGAATGCACTGGTCACAGCAAACACCCTCTTCTAACAACACAAGAGAAGACTCTACACATGGACATCACCAGATGGCCAACACCAAAATCAGATTGATTATATTCTTTGCATTCAAAGGTGGAGAAGCTCTATACAGTCAGCAAAAACAAGACCAGGAGCTGACTGTGGTTGAGATCTAGAACTCCTTATTGCCAAATTCAGACTTAAATTGAAGAAAGTAAGGAAAACCATTAGACCATTCAGGTATGACCTAAA